TTTTTTCTGGGATGGTCAATTTTTTTTTCATTGTGTTCTCTCTTCATATGAGTTTTTATGGAATTTATAGAGTTGAAAATTCTCGAACATGAGATTTCACCGCAAATAAAGCTAGGAAATGAGGAATGGTTCAGTCTTAAATGACTAAGATGACTTTGCCATGTTGGAAAAGTCAGATTACATGTGTTGCAAATAAATAATAATTGTTTATCTTCCATTGGGATTAACGTTCTCATCACCTCCGGTACACTCGTGGGAAATTTGACCTATCAATGCTTCCGTATCTCTATTACATTTATCTGTTTCTAGGTGAATGTCATAGAAGGCCTTTTGTATAAATGTCCAAAGTGAAACCGCCCTAGTGGGATAAGAACAGTTCAATGAAAAGAAGACTTTAAAAGTCAAGTCTATCATATGCAGTAAATCTGGAGATTGATAGATTGTTGGAGTCTCCAGAGAATCATTGATGTACACGTAAAACGCGTCCAATTTCACGAGAGGACCTACGACGATGGGAAGGGGTTGAAGAGTTGTGTTAGAATCTCCGCACACTTTCCGTTGTGTGTTCAATGCTCCTTCGATATCAGCTGCGGTTTCAACATGCAGTATGAATGCTGCTTGTTTTTCTTTCACCGTAAGAGATTTTTCTCCTTCAGCTCCTCTTCTAGGTGGTTTTATCAAGTACGGTAACAGGTAGAAGAGAAGTGCATCTTTATTGTGCTGTGCGAGTGAAGGTAACGCTGTTTTGAATCCCAGATCTTCCCCTTTTATACCTGTACAGCTATTGAGAGCAGTGATGACAATATCTCTTGCAACTTGCCATCGATGTAAAAAATTCTGCGAAAGATCGGGGTATAATACGTCAAAGTCATTGACAAGCTGAAAAAAATGATTGCAACACTTAAAAATAAATAGTGGGAAATTAATGGTGATTGATTCCTCACTGCAATGCCTTACCAACTCTGCACCCTGTGCTGACTTAAGTACTGGGAACGTTGAATAATAGTCGTGAACAGTACAGCCCTCTTTCAAAATCCTTTTCCTGATAGCATAGCTTAGAGTCCAATAGTGTCTCACGGTATCTGGTGGACCAATGTGATTCTCTAACCACTCAGCAGCTCGTCGTTGATCATCTAAATCACAAATATAGAAAATAATTTATTTATAGGGAAACAGGCAGAGGATTATATTTTTCCTTTACGATATATGTAAGGGAAGATACACTGTTGCAATATACTATTAAGGGGATATCACACGCAAATCGCAGGAGCCTTTATTTATCATACTGATGAGTTTACTGCTTCAGTTTAATTGTGAAAAAAACATGAGAAAAAATTAGATTCTGCCTCTCTTTATTGATGTAATGTTGAAAAGTGTCCTCATGACGCCATTCTCAATCGATTGACTCGTATTTTTGTTTACACATACGGAAGTACACAGTGAATCACTAAAGTAGTATTTTTTTCTGATTTTTATCATTTGCCTCATTACATTCTGAATGAATGATTCGAAAAATATGCAAAACTTCGTATTTCATTGATTTACAATATAGTTGAATATTACAATTTTTTCAAATTTTTCAGCTCAGCCAAATTTAAGGAAAAAAATGAAAAAAAAACTTCAAAAAATAAATATTAAAAAATAATTATTTCGTCATATTTGTGTACATATTATACCTCTGTAAACTAAAAATTGAGTCAATTGGTTGAGAATTACGTCATGATGAGATTTTTCAAGATTTGATACCTCTGCAGCCTCTTTTGGATGAATAAAAAAAATAATACCTGATTTTTTTTTACATTAAAACTGAAGTAATACCTTATCAGCATAATAGATGAAGGCACCTGCGATTTCGAAATTCCAGTCCGGCCTCCCCTTAATTAAATTATCTTCACATAAGGCATAATTTACATCCGAATCAGGAGTAATTTAACTTTTTATGGAGATTCCTTCTATTTTGGGGGTAAATCAACCCCAAGAAGGGTTAAATTACCCTTTGCATGGATTAAATGATACTTAGTGTTTTTTATGTGTGGAATTACATACTTCTACACTTCTTCTTTTCGGAAATTTGCTCTAGGAATTCCTCGATATGAATTTTCTAAATCTTTTTCATTCAATTTTGAAAATATCTCAATTGAATAAGTCGTATAGAAAAATCGAATTCTATTAATTTTGCCTACAAAATATTTTCTATTGAAAATTCTTTTCCAAAACAAAACATATAGGTCAGCTGCGCAAGTTTGCAATAAAATAGACCAAAAACTAATAAAAGGTTTAAGAGAAATACAATACAATGTTGTAGCGAATTCTTTAGGTTTTCTGGAAATTTCCATGAAAGAAATAATAGTTCTCTCCAACAACTCTTGAAAAAAAAACGGTTTTTTAGGGAATTTTGAG